ACCACAAAGTAATCCAATTTGTGGTCTAATTGTCGCGTGAGTTGATCCAGATTTGCGAATATCTTGTGTTTCGTGTCAATAGATGAGCAAAACTTTTCAAACGTTAACTTCTCGAGCAAACAGTCGTGAATTTATGAAAAGTTTATGAACAAGTTTTACGAAAATATAATAAACATTAATTCCAGTTTTTAGTTTGTCTTATTTATTGACATAATTTAGTTTTTAATACTTTATACAGTATGTAGACTGTAGTAAATGAAGGTTAAATCAAGTCATTTTAAAATATAAATTTAACCATTTTATATAAGTAATTAATGTTACATAGTTTTTGTGATATCACTTAATATTTAATTAGTACGTTAAATTATATCTTTACCTCCAATTACAGTAATGGTAATTAATTTTTATTTTTTTATATTTGCAGTAATATCTTATCTACACTGACTATAATATAAATAGAAACTATTAAAAGATGATTTGTTTTAATGATGGCTTCAATTAAGTTTTACTGGTAATACAGTTTTAAAACCCGCCAATTGGAGTGTATTTTCATGTGTGGAGTTCATGTTTAGGCCATCGGGGGTCACATAATTGACTTGACACTTGTATCGGCCCCCTGTCTCAGAATTTGGGTTAATAGTAATTCTTAGCGTATTGTCGGCATCGGAATCCAACCTAACGTTGTCGACACCACTTTGAGCAAAGAAATATTCTGAATGTTCCAGAGTAGTTTCGTATAGTTAGTTAAATTGTACTTTATATCAGTGGCTAATAGTGTATAATTACTCTGATCTTTGTTGACATATCTATAGAAAAGTTTGTTGTCTTTATAAACTCGTCGATCAATGAGAAAGTCTTTAGCTTTGAGGCGATAATCGCAATGAATGGACACGTCGTCACCTACTTTGTAAGTACCACTCACTTGGTTGTACACGTAAAGTGTTGTTTGGATTGATCCTGAATAATTTAACAAATATAAAATGAGTGTGTTTGATAAGGCTAATTACACTGTTTTACTCACTATCATCAGGCACAAAACCCATGGATGACTGATTAAATCCAGGGACACCACCGGCAGAGAAGTATATGAGACAATCGAAGTCATCGGACACGGAGGCGCTTGATATGACATTCCTTACGTTACCGTATTTGGTGGTCGTGTTATATAGAGGTCTGTGCTCGATGACCCTGCTACTATCGATGACACTACTTTCAAAGTGTTCCTCTATTAAAAATATATTTATTAAAACAATTTGATCGTGATAAAATCTAGATCTTATGTGATTACTTAGCGATCCGGAGTCAACGTAATAATAAAATTTATTTTTGAATCTCATTTCCATTCCTTGAAACTGTTGGTCGGAATCCATTTGGAAGTTACAGTTAAGAACCAAATCATGATTTCTATTGGATTGATCCAGGTACAGTGATTTCAATGATATGCATGTACACAAAGTTAATACGTTTAACAGTAAAAGTAAAATAAATACTGAATTA